GGTTTAATAGTAGTGCGATTCTGTATTTATTTATTTATTTTATATATAGATACATTTAGCACATGATAAAATATTAACATTTCTTAAAGGTTTTAGATACATTAAAAGTTTGCTTTAAAATTAGTGTTGTAATGAATAAATAAATTAACTGATTGTGGCCTTGTATAACACCACTGATTTTTCACTTATTTTTTTATGGACTGTATATAAGTTTATTAAAATATCTTCACTTGTAAAGAACAAGTTATTGAACAATTTATGAGTGAGATCAAACTAATACAACATACAGGTTAAATAGGGTTTAAGTGAAACTATTTGACCCAACTTGGATCAGATGAAACTGAGGAACGTCTCGTTGTTTTTCAGATAAACACAGAGCGCTTTGAGACCACCAGCTGTGGGATAAACCACGTGGAGGGTCACTGGCTAAAAGACGACATCCGCTTCATGAAGAAGACGGAAAAAAACGAAGCTTACAGGAAATGCATCGTGCAGCTGGGCACCGTAAGATTTTTTTAAAATAACAATAAAATGTCCATTACCAGCTCAGAGATTCATGATGTCTCTGTTAGTGTAATGTTTTGATGGCATCATGTGGTTTAGGTCATACTAGGGGACGGCACCAAGCAGAGCAACACCATAGACACCTCCCAACAGTACTTTGAGGAAGAGGAGGAGGTGGAAGAAATTCAAGAGCCACCATCTGCTAAGACCATCACTGTTTTCAGGTTGGGCCGACACCCATCACATCAGCAGACAAACTCACTGTGACTATGGCTGCGTTTGTGTGTTTCCTGCAGAGATCCTAATGAGCTGAAACGGACCATAACCGGCCTGTCGTGGCATCCTGATGGAGGCAGGAAGCTGGCTGCAGCCTACTCCTGCCTTGAGTTCCAGAAAACCTCCAAAACCATGAGCCTGGACTCCTACATCTGGGATATCAGTGGGTCCCACAGGAAGTTGGACCAAATCTACCCTCGATCCCAGATTTTATATTTCATTATTTTTTTCAGAGAACCCAAACCACCCGGAGACAACTCTGAAACCGTCATCGCTTCTCGTCTGCCTGGACTACAACCCCAAAGACTCCCACACTCTTGTTGGCGGCAGCTACAATGGGCAGATCAGTGGGTTCAGCTCCACACTTGATGAGGTACGGGTGAGGCTCTGGTGGGCTCACATGCAGGTGTGTTTGTTACAGCTTACTGGGACACCAGGAAAGGCAGCCAGCCTGTGGAGTATTCTTCTCTGGAGCACAGTCACAGAGATCCGGTCTACAAGATCATCTGGTTGCAGTCCAAGACRGGGAATGATGCATTCTCAGCCTCCACTGACGGACAGGTAGATAAAGTAACGATGAGCAGACGACATGCTGATTCTAGGCCTTTCTTTGAATAATGAGCTTTAAAAAATAAATTAATACAATTGTCAGGTTTTGTGGTGGGACGTCCGTAAGCTGAGCAAGCCCACGGATCGTCTGGTTCTGGATCCGAGCCGGGAGGGGAATCTAGACCAAGCTTTAGGTGCCATCTCTCTGGAATTTGAGGCCACTATGGTGAGCGAATAAAATGCTCCCGAGTTTGTCGTCTGTGTTTCTGTTTTCTGTCTTCCTGGTATAAATGTATAAACTTAGCTGATGTTTTAAAGTGCCAGTGACATGCATTACTACAAAATAAAAAGTCAAAAAAAATATATTTATATTTAAGAAACTTGACATAATACAAGATTTGAACTGTTATGACACATAATTGGCATATTTTCCTTTGAATTTTGATCAGCTAAAGTGAAATAGGAAGTGACATCAAAGGGGAACGAAAACTCTGGTTTTTGTTTATTGAAACAGTATTATTTGAACTCTGACTCTTTCTCATCTCTCTATGATAGTAGTTAAAATAATCTAAAGAAACACCAGATTCTTCTCTCAACACTCTATGTTGTTAGCCTTTTTAGCAACGCTCTGTTTACATTCAGACATTCCCCGTTGACATCACTTCCTGTTTCTTCACATGCAAATATCTCAACAGCTGTTCATCTCAGCGGCGTGAAATCTTTCTTACAGTATGTTATCAATGTTATCTTACCAAAAATACATTCGTATTTATTATAAAAAATTGTTGTCACAGGCACTTTAATGTCACTGATAAAACTATAAGGGATGTTTTCTCATAATGAGTCCGACTCAAATTAAACCTGGATGTCTCAAATGTTTATTCTCCCAGTCAAAGACTTTGTGACTTCAGCCTAATTTTCTGTTTGTATTTGATCCTTTTTTTTAGCCAACTAAGTTCATGGTGGGGACGGAGCAGGGCCTGGTCATCTCCTGTAATCGGAAGGCAAAGAGTCCAGCCGAGAAGATCGTTTGCACCTACGAAAGCCACCACGGACCWGTCTATGCCCTGCAGAGGAATCCATTCTTCCCCAAAAACTTCCTCACCGTGGGCGACTGGACGGCTCGCATCTGGTCTGAAGACATCAAGGAATCATCGATCATGTGCAGCAAGTAGGATTCAGACTCTTACATAATCACCTCTGATAAAATGACACCTATCTTTGCTCTCATCTTTTCTTATTTATTTGAAACATTAACTCTGCTCTCCAGGTATCAGATGTCCTACCTGATGGACGCCTGCTGGAGTCCTGTCAGGCCCTCCATCTTCTTCACTGTGGAGAAGGATGGCACGCTGGATGTCTGGGACATCCTGTTTGAACAGCATCACCCCTCGCTTAGTCTGAAGGTGCTCCTGTTTGAAATACAAAAAACAGTTTGAACCAGATTCCTCTGTTGTTGTTGACGTTTCTGTGTTGTTGTCCTCAGGTGTGTGACATGCCTCTGTACAGCCTTCGTGTACAAGATAACGGGCGTCTGGTGGCGTGCGGCTCTCAGTCTGGTGAAGTCACGCTGCTGGAGGTCTGCTCTGGACTGTCGACTCTGAGGAAGAACGAGAAGAGTCTGGTGGCTGCTGTAAGGAACACCAAAACATTTGCTGATCTGAGATTTGATTCAGTATTAAGAACAAACAATTGTCTGACTTTCTTTTAAATTACTGAATGTTAGTTCTGTGAAAAACACATAGAATATAAGAGATACATGTTGGACGTAAGCTGGATCACAGAAGACAGAGAGTTGTCAGGAAACCAGCCGAGACGTCACCAAATGTTTCTAAATATCCCCCCAGATGTTTGAGAGGGAGACAAAGCGGGAGAAGATCCTGGAGGCCCGTCAGAGGGAGATCCGTTTGAAGGAGAGGAGTCGCTCTGAACAGAGCAAAGACGACGAAAAAAGGCGAGAGGAGGGCGAGGAAGACGCCGAGCAACTGATTGCTAGAGTCGAGAGTGACTTCTACAGCCTGGTGGAGGCAGAGCTCAGGAAAAGACAGATGAGAGAAGAGGCACCACAGGTGAGGAGATGGTGACTCAAATGCACTGATCTGACCGGATCTTCTACAGTTTTCTAATCAATTTGGTTCTCATTTTTCAGGAAAACAACGTCGKCGAAGAAAAGGAAGCAGAGAATAGGGTCGAACCTGGTAAAAGAAATTAAGAAACGGCTGAAGCTGAAAAATAGAAGTGATTTTTAAAAAAATGTCTTCAGTCTTATCTCTGTTACATTTCAGTACTTTTACAGTTGCCTGTTGTTATTGTTATATGTTGTTATAGGCTCATTATTGGCCAGTTTGTATATATTGTTTGTTTCAAAAAGAAAAAAATTGTATAGGTCTTCTGGACGGGTTCTTCTCTAATGAAACGTTTTGTCTCTCCTCCAAGAGACTTCTTCAGTCTGAGAGTTTCCGGCAAAATTCAGGCTTTTAAGCACTGCCTCCATGTGACTG